TCAATTTATATGAAATGTCCAGTAGGTAAACATAGAGATAGAAAGTAGATTAGTAGTGGTTGCCTAGGGCTGGGGAGGATAGAATGATTGGGGTTGACAACCAGAAGGGTATGAGGTTTCTTCTGGGAGTAATAAAAATGTGTTAAAATTGATTGTGGTGATAATTGCACAATTCTGTGAACATACTAAAAACCACTGAATTGTATGTTTTATTTCTATTGATTGATTGAGACAGGTGGTCTCCCTCTGTCATCCAAGCTGGAGTGCAGTGGTGTGATCACAGTTACTGCAACCTCCACCTCCCTGACCTAAGTGATCCTCCTGCCTCAGCCTCCCAGGTAGCTGGGACTACAGGTGTGTGCCACCACGTCTGGCTCCATTTTTGTATTTTTTTTGTAGAGATGGGTTTTCTCCATGTTGCCCAGGCTGGTCTCAAACTCTTGGGTTCAAGCAATCTGCCCACCTTAGCCTCCCAAAGTGTTGGGATTATGGGCATGAGCCACTGCACCTGGCTGAATTATACACTTTAAATGGGTAAATTGTATGGTATATGAATTATATCTCAGTAAAGCTGTCACCAAAAAAGATCATGTATAAATAAAAGACAACTTAAAATTCTGAAAATAGTTTTATTATGGAAACAAAATAAGGAGGGTAATTAAGCATGAAATAATTTCATTCTTGATAAAAGTATATTGATTATTACAAAATTTGAAGTGTTAGTTTATAGCCCAAATCTTTTAAAGAATTTGTGTCTGCTGAAATGAACTTTCATCCTTTGCAAAGATGCAACTTTAGTTACAGGAGAAACATATTTAATCTAAATACACATTGTCATAGATAAGACTCAGAGGATTATATATATAAAGCTAACTGTACTCATTTGTGTTAAATAGCTATACAAAGCTACTAACAAAGTATGAAAGGGTTATGAGACATTTCAAACTATAAGTTTGGAATTCTTGTTCCTTTGTGATACCCTTATTATACTAAATACATTTAGTGGTTACAAGTCCAGTGTACCTCTTATAGAACAGTCCACCTTATAGAACATAGGATTAGATATGCCAAGATTAAAATGTTGCACATTTTAGGAAACTCAGAAATAATTCAAAGATGCTTTTATACTAAACTCAGCAAATTTGGTTCCAAAATGTCTTTATTATGGAAAACAAGTAAGCATAATGTTTAGACATTAATGTACAGAAAATAGTTGTCATATATATTCCTTTACAATTTTCACACCTGTTTATTTAAAGTGTCTATTCTACATATTAAAAAACATAATAATGAGATCATGTTTCAATAGGAAATTGCTAAATTTTACTTGCAAATTTTTGTAGCTATAATTCTAGTACACATTGGGATCTAAAACTATTGGTAAACAGCAACAATAGAGACTACATATTTTTTAAATTGGGCAAATGAAAGGAGAATATATTGAGATGTAAATCAGGAAGTAGTTATTCGCTTTACAAAAAGTTTTTAAATATGCAGATTAATTCATAACATACACCCTTTAAATACTAAAGCATTTAAAGTAAGTTTAACTAAAAAGGCAGCTTACATACTTTTTAAAACCCCATTAGTTGTATAAAGAGAGGCACTACTTTTATCCACGAAAAGCATCAACATTTTTAACAGTTCAAAAATAGGAGCCCAAAACAACTGATTTATCAGAAACAAAACAATACAATGGCTATTCACAGTGTAAGAAATTAAATCTATTTTTTAAAGCATGTTTTTCAGTCTCAATTTATAACACACTTTGACTTCTACTTCTGCTTTTCCTTAAATCAATCTGGACTGTGTGGAAGAATGCCGTAACATGAAGCTATTAGCAATCTGGGTTAATGTTCTACAAAAAAAATATGCTGTCTGTATACACAGAAAGTAATGAAGAAAAAAGTTAGCGCTGAAGTACAAGAGACTATCGGTCTAACAGAAAGCACCAAGATACAGATGCCAAAGTTAGAAAAAATACAAAGCGGCTCAGAATCAATGTATCTTATTCAAGGTAAATTTTATGTTAGATTGTTTGTCTGGCATTTGGGAGGCTAAATTAATTTAGGAGGCTAGAAATCCCATCTCTACTTTTTTTTTTTTTTTTTT